GGTTTAGGATCTTTTAGAGTTCAAGGGTTTAAGGCTTGCTTGGAGCCTCCGGGGAAGGAGTGGATGTCCAAAATCACGGACACGCCGTTTTGGGCCGCGTGCCTTCGCTCGGGTACAGAAGAAACTTCCTAAGCAACAAACACATGACCGTCGATTGGTGACATAAATCCCGCACTAGCTGGATGACCCTAGACCTTGGGAATTATGGCATGGTATATTCCTTGTCATGGGTAATGTAGGATTTAGATCATCAACCTGAGGGCTATATAAGATGCACGAAGCGCTGTGCCTCAAGAAGGCCGCTAGGTCGGCACGGGGAATGGTGGCAAAGGCCGCAGAGTCAGGGTAAAAGGGGTCCGGTACCAAAGCCGTCTCCTCGGATTCTCCCCATGCAAACTCTGAACTCGCCCTGCTACTACTACGGTCACTGCCACTGCCACTACGACGACGACTGCTACTACTACTACTACGACTCTCACAAACCTGCTGAGTTTCCGTGTCTGGGTTGTGAGCCGCATATAAGCTCGGGCTCAGAGGCGCCAGAGCATCGGCAAAGGCCGCCCAGGTGATTGGTAAGCGAATGGTGTCGATCCCATTTCGGATGATCTCCTGGTTTAGGGCTTTGGGTTTAGGGCTTAGGGGTTTAGAGTTGGGGGTTTAGGCGTTTAGGTTGTTTTAAAGTGCAGGGGCCCTTTCGCTAGCACTAGGACGGTCCACCTCTCTAGAGGTGTGCACTACCCCTCAAAGGCACCCAAAAAAACACAAAAACAGGCTTTAGGGTTTAGGGTTTCTCCTGAAGCTCATCCTTCGTAAAGAACTCTTCTCGGTGGGCCTTGAAAATCCTCGCGGTCTGCTTGCTTCCGAAGCTGGCGTTCAGTCGGGATGCTAGCCTCAGGTGCCCAGATCCTACGCCAAGACCTTCATACCGAAACTTGTCGATGTATACAAAAGCCGAAACAAGCTTACAAAGCTTCCAATCTCAGCTTCCAAGTGGCACCCCTTCGGAGGGCCAGGCCTCGTCGACGTGATGGAGCAGGGGAGGCAGGCACCTGCCCTGTCCCTGCGTTTCTGAACTCACCAGCTTCCCATGCGAGCCGGAGAAGAACCAATCCTCCAACACGAACCACCCGCCCAGATTCACGCCAGCGCCTTTGGGCATCGAAAACTCGAAGGACTCAGAGAGGCCTTGGACTGCCTGGACGTCACCCCGAAGCTTGCGAAGCCCTTCCGCATGAAGGAGGCCGGCGGCGAGCAGAGCGAGCGCCAGCACTGTGAGCCCGACGCGGACTGCTCCACGCTGGCACTGGCACCTAAAAACTTCTGCGCTTCTTGACTCCTCTTCGAAGAAACCAGGCTACAGGCTCAGCACGAATGCGAGCCAATGAACCGAAATTTGAACCACCAACCAGACATGTAAAGAAACTGCAGACTGAAACCCTGCAATTCTACAACACACTGTTTCCAGAAATGGTATAAAATAACTATACGTAAACGAAACCCCAAATGCTACAGTTTTCATATACACGTCTCTTTCTTTGTGTATATATATATATATATATATACATATGTATGTATATGTATATATATATATGCATACGCATACATACTTGCTTATACATCTACATGTATGTATATATATATATATATATATATATATATATATATATATATGTATATATATATATATATGTATGTATATATATATATATATATATACATGTAAAAATTATATGTATATATATATATAACCATATATATATACTTATTTATCTAGTTGTTTATCTATACATACATATATGGGAACCCTAAAGTTGCCAAGGAGCCCCCACCTTGCAGCTCTGGGGGCTGCGAGCTCCGGGTCCTCCTCGATGCTGAGGAGCCCGGCCTCAGGGTTCGGTTTGGAGTTTTGGTGGTTTAGGGGTTTAGGGGTTTGTGGTTTAGGGGTTTGGGGTTTAGGGGTTTTTAGGGGTTTTTAGGGGTTTGGGGTTTAGGGTTTGGGGTTTAGGGGTTTAGGGTTTAGGGGTTTGGGGTTTAGGGGTTTCCGGTTTAGGGGGTTTGGGGGTTTAGGGGTTTGGGGTTTAGGGGTTTCCGGTTTAGGGGGTTTGGGGGTTTAGGGGTTTGGGGTTTACGGGTTTGGGGTTTAGGGGTTTAGGGTTTAGGGGTTTGGGGGTTTAGGGGTTTGGGGTTTAGGGGTTTCCGGTTTAGGGGGTTTGGGGGTTTAGGGGTTTGGGGTTTAGGGGTTTCCGGTTTAGGGGGTTTGGGGGTTTAGGGGTTTCCGGTTTGGGGGTTTGGGGTTTAGGGGTTCGGGGGTTTAGGGGTTTCCGGTTTGGGGGTTTGGGTTTTGGCGGTTTAGGGGTTTAGGGGTTTGGGGTTTGGGTTTAGGGGTTTGGGGGTTTAGGGGTTTATGGATTTAGGGTTTAGGGTTTTAGAAGCCCGGCGACTTTTAAACTTGACTGTGGGCATGTAGTTCTCTAAAGGAGGGTCTCTTTATCGCCCTACAAGAAACCCGAATGTTGAGGACTCCCTAGATCGTGGCTTTGGCATTCAAGGGTGGCACCACGGTGTTTTTTCTGCACAAGAAGGTCACAGGCTTGTCGGTGCGACAGCGCCTTCTACATCACTCTTTCCGGCAGTCTATATTTAATGTCAGCTCAAGGTTCACTGAATATGAGCCATGTCCCCGACTGAACGCAGTCAGGCTCTACACCGTCCGATGCGCGGCTTCAGATCGGCGTCTGCAAAATACCGTGGATGCTGAAATAAACGTTGTCAAGCTCACCCTCCAGGACTTCCAGCTTGAATGACTTCACCGGGCGTGGAGGTCTCTTTGGTTCCAGGAAAGTGGACTCTTCGATCTCCTTGAGGTGCGACTCGTAGGCGAGGTGCCACGTCGCGCCGTCTTCGGAGCACCAGATCCGAAAGGATGTCGAGGCCGATATCTCAATATCCAAGCAAAATCCTTGGACATGAACCGAATCATGGGGAAGCAGCCACTGCACCCACCCTTGGCGGAGAGTGAGTGGGCCCCACGTCGTTCCGGGTTTGGTTTCGTTGGAAGCAATGCTTTCGAGAACTTCTGTGGTGTAGGCTTCTCTCTGCTCACGGCTCAGGGTCATTACTACCCAGCCGCCCACGAAAGGGCCCTTCTTCCCGGCCTGTCTATAGCGATTCCAGAGTGAATGTAGCGCGTCGCTAGTGTGCTTGTTGTTGGTTCGGATGTTGATCTTCGATTCCAGGGACTCGCCGTCCTGGCCTCCCCAGCTCCGGAGAATCTCCTTGAGAGCATCCGCTTGGATACACAACACGCCTGAGCCCAGGATCTCTTCCAAGAGCTCCAGTCGGAGAGCCGGACGCTCTTTCAGGGCCTTTGCAGGCTCCAGGTAGATGAGATCGAGAGCCTCAGCTCGCAGATCCTCCATGCGGAAGCGGTCGGCAGAAGCGAAGATTTCACAAGCTGTGACGGCCGTGAGGGCCTCCTCAACCAGCCGCATGCACAGCTCATGCAGTGCCTTGACCTGGTACTTGTCTGCCAATGCAGCCACCTCCATCAAAGCGCTCGCAGAGCCCTGGACACTCCCTGTGTATGGGAAACGCAAGAACTTGTCAACAGCACTAGCTGAAAAGTCTTGGATGACGACCTGCGACTTTTGCGACTCTGTATAGCTGTCGGAGCCCATCATCTTTTCAAAGACTGGAGACCACTGGGCAAGTAGAGAAGACCACACTTTGAACTCCGTGCGCTGCACCGTTGCCTCAGCGTCCTCTGCGCTGTCCGGCATGTCTGAGCGCTTGCGCTTCTTGCGCTGTGCCGTCGCGTCACTTTCCTTCGAACTCTCGGCTACGTCTCCCGACCGCTCTTCCACGATGACTGTGAAGTTGCCGTCTTTGCCATAGCATGCCGCCAGCGCACCACGAAGAGAAGGCAGATCCTCACCAACGATCGCTGCCATGGATGCAGAAATGCTGGACTACTACTCATAAAAAATAACGCTTGCGGCGCATGAGATACTGATAACACCCCATTCCTCCTAGACCGCCGCTGGGTTCCTGAGTAGAGGGGAGGGTTTGCGGTTTAGGGTTGCCCAAAAGAGTTCTACGATACTAGATTGCACGGCTGTACGATACCATATTGTATAGTTAAACTAGTACTATACTATGCATGGGTATACTTACTATATGGCTACCTATAAAATATACCTTGGATCGGGGTGTCATCTGGGCTGATAGAGAAGTTTTGGTAGAGGGGTTGGCGGTTCTTCTGTTTCAAGTAGGCTTTTGCCTGGACTTTATGAAGGGTTTGGTGCTTCTTCTGCGATTTTAAGGGTTTTGGTGTGGAGTGAAGGTTCGGGGTGGGGTGGCTTTACGAAGCAGGAATTGGGGACGGGGGTGCTTAAAGGATTGTAAGACTTTAGCGGCGGTTTGGGGCTTGAGCATTGGTCTTCACGTCTTCACTGTCGTTCAAGCCCTCAGTTCGGACTTGGAGGGTTTAGTTCAGGGTGGGTTCGGGTTCGGGATCCCTTTTTTACTGGAAACCCTAACCCCTCAACCCCGGAAGGCCCCGGCCTCGCATTCATCGGGGTCTGCGGGCTGCGCCATCTTCAAATCTTCCCCACGACAGAAGACCAAAAGGTTTGATCTCTTTGATACCTGTGAGCAAATCAAATGGCTGCAGGTGCTGAGAGTCAATATAACCATGAGGGTAGCCATAACAATGGCAGGCATGACAATCATCACAACAGTGACATTCATCGCGATAGAAACTACAATAATGATTCGGCGGCGATACATGTGTATGCTGCTGATACTGGCACTGCTGACCATCCGGAAATTATGGGTGCAACGATACTTCTGGTATTTTGTGCAGTTATGATGGAAATAACCATGACAACGATGACAGGACTGATACTACCCAAAGCTAAACCTACAAGAATAGATGATACAATAATACGGATGATTTTATTGAACCTGAAGCTTGACAAGCCAGTTGCTGGGACTCCTGCGGCTTTGCGCATCTTGGATGAGGCCGGCAGAAGCCAAGCAGAAAGACCGCCTCACAAGAATAGCAATGGAAACACCAGCAAGCCAGTTCATAACAAGATATTCGTAACGTGCCTGCAATAGATCAGAAAGCGTGGGTGATCAGCACAATCAGGAAGACGCGCCAGCTTGAATCTGCATGTTGCCCGATCGCACTGGCTGCCTCCCGGCAAGGTAAAGCTTCGAAGGATGACCTAAGCATCACTGGAAGGTCACTTCAAACTTGGCTGTCTGGGGAATTCAAAAGCGGTCATGTGGCTCGTGTATTGCGAGAAGCAAGCCTGAACGCAAGACACTGTCGCACATGTAAGGAGCGCTACGAGTCCCGCGCCACTCTTGCTGCAAGACCAGATTTCGTTGACCGGCCCCATGACCTGAGAAGCAAAAGCAAAACAGCCAAAGATCCATCCTTGTTGTAGTCCCCCGTCCAGTTGACTCTCACCGTAACCCTGGTAGTACCCCTTATAGAAGCCCTTACTTGTAACCCCTTATAGTAACCCTGCACAGCAACCCTTGTAGCACCCCTTTGTAGTACCCCTTACAACCCCTGTGAGATCTCTGGGCTCCCAGCAGGAGAACATCATGTCCTTGAAATGATGCAGCGTTGGCGCATAAACCTCAGGGCTCCAGCATCCCAGGGCCCCCAAGCCCGGTTTAAGGTTGAGTAACCCTGAACCTCAAACCCTAAAGCCTGAACCCTAATTAAAACCCTGAACCTGAAACCCTAAACCCTAAACATCCCTAAACCCCAAACCCTAAACCCCTAACCTTACACTTTAAGCTCAAAACCCGAGGCCATAAGCCTTAAACCCTGAACCCTAAAACACTTCACGTTCAGAGCTTAGAGCCCGGAAGCTTCAAGAAACAGGCACCACTGAGTCCCGGTACTATTTGCCACAAAGCTCGTGGGGTCGTCCGCCGTGCCTCGCTTCGACGACACATGGCGATTCCGGGGTTTAGGCTTAGGGTGTAGGATTTTAGGCTTTAGAGCTTGGGGGTTTAAGGGGTTTAGGGAGCCAGGTGCGAGATTAATGCGCAGTAACGATTTTCATAATAGTGATGCAGATGTATGTTGACAATCTTGGCAGTAATAGTCAGATGCATCATACAATCACAGTAACTGCAATAAACAGCATAACCATCATAATCGTTATATTCATCATAATCATCACCCTAATCATGAAACAGCAGATGGCATTTTGCGGATTGCAGATTGCATCTGACACTCTCCCGCCTGGTGCTTCTTTGGTGTCGGGACCTCGAACCCCAGACTTGTCCAAACTGTGCGATACTATAAGGGTTCCTTTGAGGGTTACTATAAGGCTTACGATACGGCATCCGATAAGGGTTATACTATAGGGGGTTAGGGTTCTTAGTAGGCTGTCTGGTGCTTAGTAGGGAATGGGGGAATGGATCCCTATGAAAGCCTCTTAAGGTCCCGTATAGTCACATCCCTACACTACTCTAAAGCCCTGAACACGCAACCCAAAATCCCTGAACCCCCATCCTTGCATTCTAAACCCCCCCAACCCCGCACCGCCCTTCCCCCTCAAAGCCCCCTAAACCCTAAACCCCTAAGCCCTAAACCCTAAACCCCAAACCCTAAACCCCTAAACCCCTAAGCCCTAAACCCTAAACCCCCAAACCCTAAACCCCTAAACCCCTAAGCCCTAAACCCTAAACCCCAAACCCTAAACCCCTAAACCCCTAAGCCCTAAACCCCAAACCCTAAACCCCTAAACTCCTAAACCCCAAACTTCCCCCTCCAAACCCCCCGGCGTGAATCCTTCGGAGCCCTCTGGGCTTCGAACGCGGAGCCCCTCAGAAGGATCCCCTGAGCTGGGCCATAGGGGGCTTAGGGTTTCCTTTAAAGGGATCTATAGAATCTCTAGTTTACCCGAGGATATTATGAGGTGTAGGGTTTCCTTTAAAGGGATCTAATCGTTTACCATAGGGTATTGTAGGCTTTTGGGTTTAGGGGTTTAAGGGTTTAGGGACAGATCACAGAGGCGAAGAACGCCTGAACTAACCGGCCTTCTAAATAGAAGAGGGTGGCCTTTCAGGGTTAAGGGGTCCTACAAGGGACATGAGGGATACGATAAGGGTTACTTGTTTAGGGTTTGTTTGAATTGAAATTCAGGGCTTGAAGAGTTCCATAGAAAGCTCAGTAGGAAGTTCAGTATCGGGAGTGCGGTTCTAGACTTACATGGAAAGGATTGTCATCAAGTTTCCCATACAATGGACGCATGCTTCGATAGGTCTGCCAGCTGCGAACGAACCCATGTCCTGGATTCTCAACAAGTGCTCACAACACGAGACTAAACTCCAAGAACAAGGCTTCGCATGAAGCACGTAACACTCCGTAGACCTGTGAAGCCTTTCAACGCCATGTTCTGAAACACCAGACTGCCCCACGCTTTCTCTAGCAGTCTGTGCGAGCATCAGCAGTTGCAATGGAGACTGTTGGCTGACCGTGGCTCACACCTCTGCTCTTGACCATCGTGGCCGTGACGGAGCCGTCGATTGCCTCCAAAATGTTAGCCTCAGGTCAGAGACACAGGTGCAGAAAGATGGCAAAGCCAGGATGACAAGGACTTCTTCGGCCAAGCTGCGGCAGATGCTGGGGCACCAAACGGGTTACCTCCAGCTTCCCACTGCCACGGTTGCTTTGTTTGGTGCACGCAGCGCAGCATGACTCAATGATTGCGTGGGATCAGATGTGCCTTCAGCTATGCTTCGTGCAACTACGCGCTGTAGTTGATGGCCAAGAGCTCCGAACAGGAGCGTCACGAGGCTTGCCTGCAAAAGAGCACGGCAAAACGCACAAGTGATGGGGTTGCCTAGCGTTAAGGTACAGCTTTACGAATGGCTCACCACAATAGACCCGCCGAGCAGCCTGAAAGAAGTCCTACCTTGCCTTCCCTGCCCCTAAACCCGAATTACACCCTAAACCCTAAACCCCAAACCCTAAACTAGACCCTGAACCCTAAACTAGACCCTGAACCGCAAGACTTCGCCCAAAGCTCCGCTGCCCGCTCCACCGAGGCCACGGTCAAGAGCACGGCCACGGCGTCCGCCGGAACACCGGTGAGGTCGCGGCACTTCGACAGGAGACGACAGGCCTGGCTATGAGAATCGCTGTCTCTCGGCTCTAACTTACTATGATATGACCTGATATCTACTATGATAAAGTATGATATACTGCAACTGTGATATACTCTAATGAGTAAACTTTGTATACAATAGTATAAGACAGTGCAATATAGCAAAATACGGAATATTGACCACATGATTACCATAGCCTCATACCCTGAGCTGATATCCCGAACTCCAAACCTCAAAGCCCTTCTTTCCAGGATAGGCGATCGGTTTCATGTTAGTGCAGGAGGCCTTACACCGTAACCCCCGAGCCTGGACCCCGATGCCTTTAAACCGAAGCCATAAACCCCAACTCCTTATTACCTGAGCCGCAAACCCAAGCCAAAGCTCTAAACCCCAACCCCTGCCCTGAATTTCGAAGTTCCTGAACCGCAAGTCCCAAAACCTCAAACCCTCATCCGTACTGAACACCTCTTGGTCATCCAATATACTACGAAAAACTGTAATATGGAATAAAAAAGGTACGATATGCTAAAATCGTATCATGCAGTATACTAGAGTATAGTAAGGTAGTCAGTTAGTGCTGCGTTTTTGATAGGCCGCCACATGGCACCGCTGAGCTTCTGAAAGCTGTAGTACTCGAGTATGCCGGACAATAATACACCATGTGACAAGTCACACTACGCTCGATGTTCAGGCTTCCCTCCTTCTTTGCACTTTCTACTTGCCTATTTGCTCCATGTATTGAGTTGTTGTTTGTCGACTTATACGTATTTGCTCGTCTGTCTGTGTTTGTCCATGTATACTGATGTATACATACTTATGATTGAATCATTCCTTCTTCAGATAGATATAGACCTGCGGAGAGGTGTTTTGGCTGAACCCCCCAACAGGGTTCAAAGGCCTTGAAGAACAGCTACAAGTAGAAGTTTTCCGCTGCAGCCCCCATCTAAAGCTACATTCGAGCGCACGCCAAAACTCCGCACCGAAGCCCTGGTCTGATCGATCACTACTGCTGATGGACAAAATCCTGCATGACCTTAAGGACCCTAAACTATGGGAATTATGGTATATTCCTTATATTGGGTCATGCACGATATTGTCCATCCACAGTAGTAAGAATATTCCCTTACAGTCCCTTTCGTTAATCTTTTAATGTACCCCAAAACCCAGTTCTGATAGGAATATTCCCTGATAGTAAGCCCGCTGACTTAGAAGGATATAGGGCCTTCACAATAAGCGTAGGGATTATACTAGAATCATGATAAGGAACCCCCAAAATAGTATCGGTAATTATGAAAGCCCCTGTACTACTTGTACCTCAAAACCCCAGTTTCGATCGAGCCTGCTGCCAAGACCCGGCTAGGGCACAGGCGCCCAAGGCAGCTCCAAAAGCCTCAATGCAAGGAGGGGGCTTATTCAAAAAATGTAAAAGCTACAGTATCTATGAGGCTGATACAAAAAGAGTGGGTTTAAAAAAAACAGCTTTTTATCTGCGGACTTCAGGGTTTCAGATTGAGGTGTTGGTATTTGGGCTGTAGGACTCAGGATGTGGCAGACTTGGGGGGTTTCGGGCTTTCGGGCTTTAGGCCACCGTCTGCGCAGGGGGGCGAGGTTGAATGCTACTGGAAGCCTCCCGGCCGAAGGGAGGACGGGGGACGGGATCTGTACCGTGACCCCAATACATTATAGTATGTTGTGGTTTTTCATAGTACATTGTAGTAGAACATACTGTATTCTAGTATATTATAGTTAGTATGGTGTACCATACTTTCTGGCACGACAGCTCTGACCCTCCCCCATACCGCGAGAACTCGGAAATCTCCTTCCAAGGCGAGGCATTGTTCCAGCTTCCCTTTGTGATCCCTCGCTGTGCCTTCAAGTCCGGCGTCAGGTGGACTTTGAACCTCAAAGCTCTTCTTGAAGATTCATGGGTGGGTCTGCTATGTATAGCACTATCAGGATCTTGCAAGTATTTACGTATAAACCACATCGAGGTACTTGAATCAAACCTTATAACTGCATCTTCGCCTTGAGGCTTGGCCTTAAACATAAAAAACATTCCAAAGGAGGGCGTCTCCCAAGGGTTTAGGGTTTAGGGTTTAGGGTTCCAAGCTTAGGCATCCAAAACATGTGTGGTGCACTGTTCTGCAGCTTGAACATCTACGCCAAGCTGCGACATGGAGCACTAGCGGTGGCACACAGCTCCCAAGCGGCCGGCTCAGCACTAACAAAGAAGAGCAAGACAGGCAATTGCGGCTACTGTTACGGGAGTTTTCTTGATTCCTTCAAAACAAGAGTATCCCCCAGCCCTCGGCACCCAGCATCTCATCTAGCAGCAACAGCGCATCCTCCCATCGCCTTGCCTGCGACAGGCAGTGCTTCGAAAAAGGCGTGGAGTCTTAGGGTTCCGTCCCATGCTAAAGCTGGTGTAAGTGCGAAGGCGGGGTCGTGTAGCTTTAGAGCTCTAGGCAGTGGCAAGCGCAAAATGCGCCGAGTTCTGCTCTGCACATGCTATTATGGAAGCAGACAAAATGCAAAGACGCTTTTGCATTCTGCAGCCCTTCCGAGTTGCAACGCCAGCACGTTCCTTCGTGTGAACCGTATACAAATCTGAGGCTCTAGAACTCTAGGCCTGTCTGGGTCGGAAGGTTTGCCTCGCAAAACTGGAGCAGACCGTTTGCCCACTTCCCTGCGCCTTCCGGCACCTTACAAGTCTTGAATTAAAAGCCGCGAAGACTAGAAGACCTTCGCGGCATAGGGATCGGCGTCTCTGGGGCTGGCGACCCCTCCCCATCGGGCTGATGGCTTGCATCTTTTCCGAACACATGCTCATTTATGGAGGAACAACTAATCGCGGATCAGTTTGCCCTAAACCCTAAACCCTAAACCCTTAAAGAGGTGGCTGTCAATTATGGAGGAGCAACTAATCGCGGAGCAGTTTGGCAAGTACACAGCAGTGGTGGGTCCCAAGCACAGCACATCATGGTGCACACGTGGAGAACTGGCGATGTTTAACCGTCTCTTGCTGCATGGATCTGACTACGAAGTGACTGCTATTCCCATCTTCTTCATTCGATTCGATGGTCAGGAGTCCCACTGTGTGTCTCAGTACTCAGATCCCAAAAAGACAAAGGCAAGACAAGGCGGCGCTCAAGGCCGCGGACAGGAAGACGGACGGAGCCACCGAAATATCGCTTGAAGCGGCTGTAGTCGTGGGCACTGCCTGACAGGCAGACGCGCGGTTTAGGGTCTAGGGTTAGGGTTTTAGGGCTTATAGGGTTTAGGGTTTAGAGGGTAGCTCGACGAGACCCTATGCGGAAGGCTGCCAGTATGCGTGCTCAATTGCCTAGAGCCCTGAGAAGAACGCCACCATTCAAGCCGAGCCGTCCTTGCACATGTCGGGATAAGCAGTTGAGCCGTTCAGCAGTGTTGCCGTGTTGCCCGTGTCATTGCCTCATGCTCACCGCAGCTATGCCAAGGACAGCAGAAAAAATCGAGGAGTATGTTAAGCTACAAGCAAGCACAAAATAATCGGGAGGTGAGCCACACGGGGAGGCCATACAACTGCCAGCTGGTGCATCTTTCCACGTCCCCACCATAGCACATGTGATGCCGAGGTCAGGATACCTGAAGGAGACGGCATGTCTCGTGGCAAGCTAGTGAGCAGTGCAAACATCAAGACAAGGGCAGCATGGCAAGCGGCATATGCTTATTCTGCGCGTTTAACATGCTGTAAAGTCAGCTGTCACAGACAACGAGGACAAACGAGGGTCGCACAGGCCGCAGAACGAAAAGAGCCGCATTTGTGGCGAAGTCATATGTTTGCTTTCCAAGGCACAGAGACTCCACCAGCGTCTTCACCGAGCAAGCCGTGCTCTCCGGTACGGTTGTCAAGTTTAGATCAAAGAGCGCATCCACTGCCTGCACAGTGGTGGCATTGAAGGTGGACATGTAACCAGAGGCACTCCTCCAGTAAGCCCAGCCCTCGGCGAGATACTTCGGCTCCATGGTACCACCGTTGTACGCCCTCCAGGCGTACTTGATGGCGCTTCTGATGGCAGCAATGGAGAAGATCTTGTACATGGCTAACTCTGCGGCTTTCACACTGGTAGCATTGTAGGCACCCCCGCGCAGGTTGATGAGGCCGTAATTCAGAATCGGGACTGCCTCCGTGTGTGTCGAGGTGCCATCGGGAAAGTCGATGTCGCGCTTCCAGTTGAACTCGTAGGGCGAGTAGAGGTTGCCAGGGGCAGAACCCGTGTAGCCATCGCCGATCACTGGATCGATATTACCGATGTAAAAGGCAGCACCTTCGTCCCAAGCATAGGCTGCTTGAGTGTCCGCCGTCTCACCATTTTCACCTTTCCAAACAGCTGCACCGAACTCGTAGGTGGCATAGGCAGTGACAACTCCAATCAGTCCCTTGTTGATCACATACTGCCGAAAGGAGTCTGTCTTGCCCTCGCAAACACCTGTCCCATCCAAACACGCGATAATGTAGTCATGCCACACAGCATTCGTCGAGCCATACAAGCTGATGGCACCGCTGTAGAAAACCTTACGTCTCAGGGTGCAGATCTTTGAAGCACGGACCCTGAACCCGAAAGGAACCCTAACCCTGAACCCTTTAGGTGTCTTTTGTTGGTCCTTTACGGACGGTTCTGCGAGGGGACGTTGGTGTACTTTCCGTCCACGGTCATGTCCTTCTGCGCCAGGTCCTGGAGCGTCTATCAAGATCGAAGAATGCAATATACTACAACACAACATACTACACTACACCATGGCATGACGTGTTATAACAAACTACAACATAAACACTCGAATACTAGAATGTAGTCAATAAAGTTTAGTATATCACAAGAACACTATAGTTTACTTTAGTATACTATAGTATATTTCTATATATTACAACATACTACAATATACTATGACAAACAACACATAATGTACTCGAATATACTATAACATGCAACACTGTTCTTTGCTATACTCTAATGTAACATCGTATACTATACTAGACTACAATATACTACATACTACAATTATGCTATATACTATAACATACGGCAGGAAGTACTAAAATATACTTTGATGAGCCATAACAGTAAAAATAGACTGTAGTATACTCATATGCTATAATGTACCAATATGCTACACAATTTGATAGAATACACTGTAGTATACTACAATATACGATAACATACTATAACATACTACCATATACTATAATATATTGTAACATACTATTACTGTAATATGCTGTCATATGCTATAACCGGCTATAGTATACTATACTGAAATAAATACTACAAGATACTACAACAAACTACTGTCCTGGAGAGTTCGCATGTTTCCCAGCCCTTTGGAAGAGAAGTTGCCCTCGGTGTAAACCTGCTTGGCCATGGCATAGTTCATGGGGGTCTCAGCCAAGTACTCTTTGATCAGCTTCACATCCCGATTGATGTCGGCGTGTTCCGTGACGTCGTTGACAGGACAGTAGAAGCCGTCAGAAAGCTTTGGACAGGAATCCACAGGGGTGCAAGCCCCTGCCTCAGCACCTGCGACCAGGAAGGCCGCAAGCATAAAGCGCATGGCTGCCATCTCGCAAGGCGCGCTTGCGTAGGGACTCAGCTTGTTGCGTCACAAGAACGCAGAATTCCAAACCGAAGAACTAAGCTCAATAGAATTTCAACCAGCATTAGACTCTCGTTCCGACAATCGTTTGCAAATCTGAGCCGACAGCCTTCCGAATCCTGCTGCAGCTGATGCAATGATGACTAAAGAGCTTCTGCAGTAACACATGGAAAAGCCGAGCACCTGGGATGGTCTTTCAGCATCATCCGGAAACCTCGTCCCCTTCGTGTCAGGTCGTCCCTAGTCAGAACCGCACCTGCTGCAGACTGAGAAGCCCTTCCGAGTACGACGTCAGGGAAGCCAGCGAGAGCCGACCTTCACAGAAGGGGCATACGCCTTCGAAGCCTTCCTCTGCCAAACTAGTTATAGATACAACTGTATGAATACAGGTGTATATATGTACATACATATGTATACTTGTACGTAAATGCGTGTGCAGGTGTGGGGGTGCGCGTGGGTCTGCGTGGGTGTGCATGGGTGTGCGCGGGTGTGTGTATTCTCACATACAGATACATGTATATGTGTGTGTGTATGCACAGCCTTGATATTATATATATATATATACATATATACATATATCTGTGTGTGTACCAGGTTGGTGCAGTACCACAGTAGCACTACCACGGCACGCCAACGCCTCTGCACCTCTGGGCCTCTGGGATCCGAGCGCATCTCCGCGAAGAGAGCCAAGGCTCGGGGCCACTCCTCGCCACGAAGGCAGGCAGCCATAGCCTCGGATAATATAATATGATATAATACAATATAATACATTATAGTATAACAACATACAAATACAATTCAATATGATGGAATATCAACCATATAATCGGAGATAATACAAAAAAGGATGATCTAGGTCGGAAAGCCCCGGGATGCCTTGAGGCGGGGGTGCTTTAAGGCGGGCAGTTCAGGCTTGAGGGTTTAGGGCTTCGCGCTCAGAAATTAAAGTTTCGGGTTCAGATCCGGATCTAACTTTATATGCCCTTCGATTCCCGAGGTAAGCCACTGCATTGATCGTGGTGCCGTCGGGGCGAAGGCGGTGTCGACATGCTGCCTTGCCAAGAGTTGGAATCTCAAAGTTGGGTTTAGTATCGGTTTTGGACTCATCATGTGTAGGATTTGGGGAGTATCGCAGTATGGCTTCAAGTTTGGGGGATAAGCGCTGCAACACCGTCACGCCTTGAGCGCTGCCCCTGCTACGGCGGCAACAACGGCGCCTGGTGCAGAATCCAAAGCGCTCCAGGCCAGTGGCGGCCTCAACAGGATCCCTTCTTTGGCCGCTTCAGAAGACCTCTGGATTCGAAGGCCAGATCCAGTCCCCAAACTCAAAGCTCTTTTAGATCATATCATTCTATCCTGTTCTAGTTTACTATATTATAACCCCGGGCCTTTTTCGCAAGCGCTGGCAACCTCAGGACACTCGAGCTCGAGCAACAGTTGGACTCCTGCTGCTACAGTAGCCTTACTCCATCCCCTTACCGAAACTTGCGGCAGCACACAGCACACAGGCCAACATAAACCCCGATCAAATCTTTAGGACCTCACCGATCGCGCGCCACTTATCCCCTAGCACCCCTAACAGTACCCCTTACGATAACCCCTTGTGGCAATCCTTTGGGCTCTGCTCGACGACAAGTCCCTGGCCGCATTCAGCAACACCACATTGGGTTTCACCTTTGCAGCCTCGCCAGCGTGATGTAAGGCCGTCTATAAAGAAGACCATGAGTGAACTAGAAGGGTTACTATCTATATAACTAGAAAGAAAAACAATATATATATATATATATATATGTATATATATATATATAGTATCTACCCTAATACATAAGAATTAGGGCTTTGGGCTTTCAAGCCTCTGGGTTCGCATCAACAAGGAGGCCTTCGGACTTCTGAGGCTCCTTCACTGGGGTCAAAGGCTGAGGCCCTGAGCGCTGAACCCTAAAGCCAAAAACCCTCAACCCTAAACCCATGAGCGCTGAACCCCGAACCCCAAAACCCTCAACCCTAAACCCATGAGCCTGAACCCAAAAAATCAAAAACCTCAACCGGAAACCCATGAGCAATCTGTGAACGTGCGTTCTTGGACCGTCCGACAGCTTAGCCACGGAACCCGTTCCTCTCTCAAGCGACTGAGTGAAAGGCAGAAGGGTCTCAGGTTCCAGGATTGAATATAGCACACTAATGTAGAAGTACTCAAATATATACTATAGTGAAATATATGTGAATATTTGATGATATATAATAGTAGACTACAACAAGAAACAAAGGCCAGCCCTTTCCCTTTCCTGGAAACTCCTAAAGAAAAAGAGGCAGGCCTTGAGCCGGACCTCCAGGATGTGGATGGCCTCTTCCCAGAGACCACCCTTCTCACACCTCGCGCAAACTTCAGGGCGAAGGGTAGGGTTTAGGGTTTAGGGCGTAGGGTGTAGGGTTTTAGCGCTTTAGATATCCGGGTTTTCCTGGCCAAAGCTGCCCAAAACGAATCCCACCCCAAACCCTGAACCCTAAACTCTGAACCCTACACCCTGAACTCTCAACCCTGAACCCTAAACCCCTACACCCTAAATCCTAAACCCTAAAATGACTGAGGAGGCTCCCTCAAAGCTCAGAAGATGCGGGCGAAGGGCGCCGTCAGCGCTGCCCCGAAGCTGACAATGTCCGGCTGAAGGTCCGTCGCCTGCCGTGCAATACCCCGTTCCGGTAGGGCCCATATATGACTACTAGTTACTATTAAATTATACTACTATATACTGTAACAATCTATAACATAACCTGATATATTATAATCTACCACATTAGAATTAATATACTGTAAACTACTGTACGATACTGACATGTACGGTAATATACTGAATGCAATATAGCATACCGTAATATACTATAACTCACTATAGTTCACCAAAAATTTCTATAACACACTGTAATATACTACACTATACTGTACTATGTTCTATTATACTGTACGAAACTAGCATATAATATACTGTGGTATACCATAATATACTTGCTATATTAAACCATATTAAACTATAGTATAATATCATACACTATAATACCTATAGCATGAAGGCAGCATCATGTCTCCGGCATCCTCAGGAGGCTCCACAGGGATGCATACTTACATCTGCGCCTGAATCTCGTCAAAGAGCTGCAGGGCCTCTCCGACACGCCGGCCCTGCCAGAAAGCAAGGAGCAATGATGCTCATAATCACAATCAACGATGATAAGAACCAATAGAAAAAGGACAAAAAGAAGAACCAGAATAGTAATAGCAATAAGAATAATGGTAATGATCATGATGTTAATAGCAACCATCATCATTCTAATAAACAACAATAACAGTATTGATTTACTGTATATATATATATATACATACATACATAGACCTAAAATAAGATCTGCGTTTCCTACGTTGGCGGAACTCGGCCGGAAGCTTCCGCAAGCTTAGTCTCGGATTTAGTGTTTTGCTCCGTCGTTGCGGGGATGAGAAGATGCATCTTTTGCCGCGAAATCCCCCAGCGAAAACTTTCCAACTGGCAGTTGAAGCGATGATGAGTTGCTCTTGCAGCCTCACCCCGCAGGCAAAAGCACGGAGATCGACTTTCGGGCGCTCTAACAACCCTAGACCTGAAAGCCCCAAAATGCCCCAAACCTTACGCCCCAAGCTCCGACGCTCAATCCCCCGAATCCTAACCCTCAAATCCTGAACCCCCTGCGCCCTAATATAGGAACCCGATTAAGAAACCTTGGGCCTTTATTTGAGTTCGTTATATGAACCCTACTATTTTGGTGCTCTAGGCCCCGGGTTTCCTGAATCAAGTTCCTACATTAAGGCGTCTCATGCTCTCCTCTGCTTCTGAATCCCAGTGATCCTAGGACCCTGGGCCCTAATTCCTAAACCCTAAACCCTGAACCTCTAAACCCTAAACCCCTGAACCCTAAACCCTGAACGTGCCTTGGCACAGGACGTCATCGCCGCGTTGAAAGCGACGAGGCCGGCGCCCTGTCGCTGGCAGAGCTCGCGCAGGAGTCGCAGGGCCTGGTGAAAAGGGTCCGAAAAGGGTTCCTTTAAGGGTCCCTTTAAAGGCATCTATAGGGAGTCTATAAGAATATATAGGGTTTAGGGTTCATGGGTAGCTATAAGTGGGGCTATAAGTCCCATCATAGGGGTTATAAGTATAGTTACCCTACTTATAACCCTACTTAAAACTTCCCATGAATCTCCAAGTACAGGGGAATTTTGAAGGTTAATGTGAGGGTGCTACATGTAAGGGTCCTAAACGGGTTCCAGAAGGGTTCTATAAGGCTGTTGGCTTAAGGCTTTGCCTTCGGAGTTTTCGATCGAGATTTCCGTGCAGTTTGGGTTTGGGGTCGCTCGGCAGAAGCGGATGATTGAAGATGCACTGCGCAGGACAAGCCCAAGAGAGAGGACAGGACCAATCGAATGTCGACCCTGTAAGCAACAGAAGAGTTCGTCTCGAAGCCTTCAGCAACTAGGCTGACCGGATGTTGCTACAACAAATATCCTTTGGATTTCGAGGCCGGGACATGCCGCCACATGATGCTCGAACCACAGGCACTGATTGCAGCCTCGTCCACAGCCAAAGTCTCGAATCCAGGAGAGTCAAAAGTACGGAAAAGCACCTTTCTCTTTGACAGCACAGCGCAGGACTCGGAAAAATTACTGCAAACTGCCTGCTGCGCATTGGCACAACGGGAATCGCGGACGACTGCAGAATATCCCAAGGATATGGACAAAATGGACGGAGACAGAACCATAGTAAGAGACGTCATAGCCATAGATGTCTGGGAGCAGGTGCAGGGAAAGCACCAAGGCCAGAGCATTGTAAGCCACGTTGCTCGGCACCTGAGCCTTGGCGTGACCGTTGCACGGCACATGGAGGAGATAATGAAATATCAGGGCTGCATGGACTTAGGATCTACGAACCTAAGGCTACGGTTGGGGCTTCTGGTTTGGGGATTACGAATTTACAAGGTTTGGTGTTGGAAAGTTTGGGCTTTAAAGGGTTGGTGGTGCTGCGCTGTTTGGAGCTCTGCACCCCTCAACCGGGTCCTGGACCAGAATGATGTCTTCATATGTGTACCATGTTATAACACTAGCTAATTAAATACGTCATGCATGTGCATATACAAACATACATATATCCATTTTTTATACACACACTCACACACATGTTAAAACAAAGTGTGCATGCATATATATATATATATATATATATATGCTACATTTGCACGTCCTCGACACACTTTCATAGCAACACTGGCCTCCCAGGCTCTGAGGCTCCAGGCTGCTGCGATCACCCTCAGAGCCCGCTGCCACTGCGCCCCACGCCTCGGGAGACGAAGGAGAGGCGGCCACTGGGATGCAGGCTTAACCAAAAAAAGGAACTACAATGGAGACTATAGGTAGGGTTTGGGGGGGATCTAGGGTCGAGGGTTCTTCAAGGGTTTGATTGGGGTTTCGGATATTTGGGGATCAAGACGGCTTGTTTAGGGGTTTAGGGCTTTTTGTGGGGATGGCAGAACTCAAAGAGTGCACTCAAAGGGGTTCAGGGTCAGGGTTTGGGGAAGGCCTATGGCTGGGGCTTCTTCAAGTCAGACTCGACAGCGAAGGAATAGGTTGCTGAGATGATGTGAGTTTCTGAATCAATCCGAGGGGCTCCAAGGCAGTCACCAGCGAGTTCTGGGTGATGGTGTCAGGGACCAGCTCCTATCTAGCATAAGCCGAAACTCACTTGCAGGGCTTTGGAAATCTCAAACAGACTCATGCACTTGCCGGCGCTCTACCGCGGCAGATATTCGGCTGCTCACATCGTTGCACGGGCATTTCATGCTTCCAACCAGGCCGTCCAAAGCCCCTTCCATGTCCAAAGCTCCGGACGATAACATTTCCAGCGGCGCCGAGTAGTCTCCATCAAGCAAAGGAAGTCTGAAGCCTAAACCCCAAACGATGTTGGATCAGTCTCAGATCTCGGGATTCAGGGATCCTTCTCCACCATGTTGCCCTCCAAGACGAGTGCCCATCTCCATTGCCTCCCCTTGCCACACCTGGTTGGGCACGACCCTTCGGGAGAAAGCATCTTACCTTTGGTTGGTAGGGAATGGAAGAATGGAAGAATGGAAGAATGGTAGTAATAGTAGCTATAGGCTATAGTTGTACCCCATTCCTCCATTCCCTACTAACCAAAGGTGAGGCATCGGGAATACGATGCTTTGCGTGCTGACTCTCTAACACGCGTCGCAGACTCTAGATCCGTGAGGGTGTCTGGGAGGAGCCATACTAGAATTCGATGAGAGTCCTGTTGGAACAAGCATATCTAAAGGAATCCGACCTTGGAAGAACTCACCCTGGGGCTTGGGCGCGCTGATGGCCGAGTTGTAGCTCGGAGTGTCCACCAGATCCTGACCATACGGCTTAGATCTCTGTGTTTCCGGTTAAGGTTCCCGAAGGAACTGATTCGAGCCTCGCTTCATGATCTTGTTGCTCCTTTGTATTGTGTCGTATGGGTCACGAAGAACATGTGCTGGCACAGTGCGAGTACTGGCAAAGAAGGTTGACACTCAAGGACGAGGTACATCATCTGTAAAGGCCCATCCGAAACAAGAACGGAGCTTGAATACAACTGTAGAAAGTGCCCCAGTCCCAATCCTAAGCCCTAAACCCGAACAATCCAGAACCCTAGAGACCATTCAGCTTGAAGAACCTTCCACACGGGCTGGGGATTGCGGAACCCAGGATTCGGCGCCTCGAAGTCAAGCAACCGGAGAGCGCTCCTTAGCCGCGGAGCTCTTCTGCAAGGATTGCTCTGTGGCTGGAGGCCTTTGGGCTTCCCCGCGTTTAATTTTTAAGGGTTTAGGGTTTAGGGTTCCGGTGTTTCCGGGGCTCAGGTATTTCGGCCACTAGACCTCCAGAGGGAAGCTTTAGGAGCCTTGTGAATCCGAGACAAGTCTCTCCCAAACGTGGCCTTTCTCGCACGCAGCCAGGGCGGCGTTGCAGCCTTGAAGGCAAGGAGCAGATGGCATGAAGAATGAATCCTTCGGGTGTTAGCAAGGAAGGACGAAGCTTTACAACCCAAGCACTGCCTAGAATCTGCAGAATATGAAAACCCCTCAACCCGAAACCGCCAGACCCCTATCGGTTTAGGGTTTAGGGTTTAAGGTTTAGGGTTATCACCCTGAACCCCTCCCTGAAAGTTAAGACCCGTCCCAAAGGCCTGCTGTCGTTTGCTTGACGTTGAAGCTGTCCATGTCCTGCCAGAGGAGTGGCTCCGCATTTCTGGCTCTCTTATGAAGCTGCTTTATCACAGCCGCAAAAATTAGTTCCTGTTTTCAGTTTGTAGTATGGTATACCCAAAAAAAACTCTAATATCTCTGGTAAAGCGAGCATAATTGCATAATCATTGAAACATTGTGGGCGTTTCCAATGATTCGGAGTGGGACAGTGTTTCGCTGAGCGGCGCTGTGAACCGGGGGAGCCGGTCCTGGAACAGGAGAAGGGCCAAGGCCCAGGCCCGCGCCTCTTTCAGCGCTCTATGGGCTTGTAAAGGGTTTAGGGGCTAGGGGGCTAGGGCTATGGCTTTTAGGTTTAGGGTTGAGGGTGTAGTTTGCGAGGGTCAGGGTTTAGGGTTTAGGGTTAAGGATTGGGCCTGGGGTTCCTGAAACTCCTCTACAGCCTGAACCCGCAAGCCTAACTGACCGTATGCAGCTAGCACTTGGGGCTCTTCCTGGGTCTGCGCACTCAGTGTTACGCTTAGATTCGCTGGGTGGCCGGCGTGCCCGCAGCCGACCATGCAGACCTCCAAAACAGCTGAAGCGACTCCTCTCCCGTTGGGAATGCAAGGCGGCAAGGCGACTGCCGCAAAGCCCAGACGTTTGCCTGAAAAGTCACCTCGTCTGCCTTGCCGTCTGCAGCAATCGCAGCCAACCTTGGAATGCAAAAAAAACGCTCAGCAAGGAACCTCCGGAAGCAAGATTCGCGACGTTTGTCCTCCCGAACCGCCCATGCCACCCGCAAACGCGAGCAGACAAGTCCACCGACGTGAGAGCCAGAGAAACGGCCCTCGGCCCAGATGGCCGTGGGCATACCCTGTCGCGCCGGCCTTGTGTCATGACTCAGGCGCACTTCCATCAGGGCCAGGGCCACCAGATTCCTCACCTCTCAGAACTTGAGCTCGAAGTACTCGGAGTTGTCCACGTCAGGAACCCCGCCAGCTTGGTCAGTGCCCGGCAGGCGTCGGCTACTCGAGGTGATCAGAGGCATAGCGGCGAATGACACGGTCCAAATAGAAAAGGATGGAGTCGTAGCCTCAACTCAAGGCAAGAGCCTTGCCTCATTCTCACAACTTCGTGGCCGTGGAAAGGCTGCAAGCTGAGCTGGCGGCCAAGATGTCTCTCTGCAAACATCTGTGAGGTCTCAGCGATGCGCCTTGCAAGTTCGTCGTTCCTGCACCGGCTGAACGGATTCATGCACTGTTTAAGCCACGGCGTTTCACCGCATCTCCTCTTCAACCACTCCAGTCGATCCACAAGATCCTGCATGGGACAGCATCAGTCACACAAATGTGCCTAAAACAGACTTTCCCTACCCCAATCGAAAACTGACGAAGCTCAGCGACCGACCGCCAGGTCGAATCGCAGTGGCACGAAGTGCTGGTAGGGCTTGAGCGCGCCCCGGCGCGTTGGCGTCGAGGGCTCCGCCAGTAGCCAGGAGACCTGGGGCGTCTCGTGGTTCAGCACCACCTGAGGGTTCGTCAGGTTGGCTACAGAAGGGGGTGGTAGGAGTGTTTGGGGCTGTTTGGGGGATTTACTGCTTGAGGGTAGGTCCTTGATTCAAACTAGAAGGGGGAGCCACAGGGCAACGCGATTCGAGGAACACCCCGCCTGACCACCCAGCATCTGCCAGTAGATGCGATCACCGATGCCTGTGCCTTCGATATTTATGCCGTACTTGTATGCCAACTGCTCCCAGAACTTCACCGAAGGTGCAGTCATGTTCTCAACTTCGAAATACTCCCACAGCTGAGGCTCCATGTTCCGTGAGATCCCAGTCCACTTGGCATCCACTGAAGCAATGTACTGGGAAAGCAAGACCAGGACGCCTCTTGGGGTTTGGTACCAATTTGTGAAATTCCAGCTGGACGTGTGCCACTTTAGGCCTTCATCACCAATTCCAAGGAGTGCCTCTCGCCAGCCCTCAACACAGAGGCTCCAGGGAGCACTACCTTCCGCGACTTCCTTCAGCGAGCAGTGGTTAACTACATGGTTCGAGTTCGTGCCACGCCAGAGGAGCTTCTCCACACGCTTTTCCCAGGGGTGTTTGGATGCCACCTTCGCCAGAGTAGCAGTGGCCTTACGGCTTTGCCACGGATGGAGTTGGTACTCAAAGGGCAAAGCAATATACTTCCCGCGTGGCGACCGAGGCCGACTCCGTGTGAAGACCGGCATAGAGGAGATGCCTCTTAGAAAACAAAGATATTCCCTTGCAGTCCCTATTTTAAGTCAAAAGAAATACAGCATAGTTCACCGTAGTATGCCGCCATACCCTTGTTAAGGCCTGCGTCGTTGTTGGTCGGGCTCACGAACATGTCGAGATCAGGCAGGGGAAGGTGCGTGCCGATGATGCGCAGCGCCACTTCCACTGCTCGCACGTAGGCACAGTCCTTACTGGTGCTCAAGCTGAGTGGGAGAGTGGATCACTGTAATACTCCTACATACTCCCTGATAGTAGTCCTCATATTGCCCCCCCTCAAACCTCAAACCCTAGTAAAACCCTCAACCCTTAACCCCAAACCCTAAACCCTAAACCACACCAGTAAGGGTCGTTGTTGGGATCCACCGTCGTCTGGCACAGCGAGTAGTTGCAGGGAATCAGCTTGCCATCTCCTGGCTTTGCCGACTTCGTCAAGCTCAGGAAAGCTTTGGGCTTCGAGGTTTGGGGGTTCAGGGTCAAATTGTATAAAAGATAAATACATACATACCTACATATATATACATATATATATATATATATATGTATACATGTGTATATACATATATATATATATATATATATATATAAACAGAGAGAGAAAGGGAGAGTGAGTGTGTATTTGTAAAGGCTTTGAGGATACAGTGTACTACATAGTATGTATTATTTATTCTATATCATACATCATATCTTATCTGATGTCTGTATATGTGATATATAGATATATATATATATATATGTATATGTATATGTATGTATATATATATATATACATATATATATATATATATATACAATCGTGCGGTCAGGCCACGCACTCGGACTCTGCACGGCAGGAGCCCCAGCTCTCCCGGCTTAGCATCGCGGTACTGCTGCAGCTCCTGCCACCCCCAGCAAGGTAAGCAAAGGCTTAGGGTTTAGGGCTCAGGGTTTAGGGTTTAAGGTTTAAGGGTTTAAGGTTTAGGGTTTACGGGTTAGGATTTAAGGGTGTTTTTTAGGTTTGGGGTTCAAGGTTAAGGGTTTAGGTAGGGTACAAGAAGGGAATCAAACCAAAGGCTTAGGGCCCAAGGCTTTAGGTGCAAGGATCGTTGCTTTTTGCCACCGCTCGCGGCATATGAATGGACTTGCACTGTTTGGGCTTTATGCTTTACAGGTACTTTTTGCCTGAACTACTCCGTTCCATGTTCGGCCTTTAGTGTCAAACCTTGGAATCTGACGAGTCGCCTCCTCGAAAGCGTCAAAGTCTGCCTCAGACCATCGAAGTCCCTCCAGCGCTTCGAACTCCTCTTCGAGGTCACCCTCAAGCCTCAGTCTGTCCAGTAGTAGTAGTAGTAGTAGTAGTAGTAGTAGTAGTAGTAGTAGTAGTAGTAGTAGTAGTAGTAGTAGAGTAATGGTACACTAGTAGTACAATAATAGTACAATAGTACCATAGTAGTGCAGGACGCAAAAGCAAAGCGCGTGGAGTCTAAAGCTGCAGCAAGAGTAGACTGCCCCCGGTTGTTACTAGTACTGGACTTGACTATACTACTCTATATATACTAATATACTACACTCCTCTGCGTATGCCACACTTTGCTGTATGATACTATACTATACTTTGCCATACTAGACTGTACCATACTGTTCTCGATTCTAGATCCCAGCCACCATGTAGCATCATCCTCCTGTGGATACAGGAGCCTCCGGCGGAGACCAGGGAAGCAGCACTCGGCAAACATGGGTGCCAGCACATCATCCTCATGGTTAGGCGCCAAGGCTTTAGGATTTAAGGCTTAGGCTTAGGTTTTAGGGTTTGGGGTTAAGCATTAAGGTTTTAGCGTTTGAGGCTTGGGTTTTAGGGCTTCGGGTTTGGGGTTCAGGGCTCATCATCCTCAGCATCGCCCCAGCAGCCCGGATGAGGATAAATGCAGCAGACCTGACAACACCGCTTGGCAAGAGCCATAGCACATGTCTTAGCCAGCAAAACCTTGCTTTATCAACCCGATGCCTTTTCAGAATCCTTAAACCCTAAAACCCTAATCCCTCAACCCTAAATCCCTAAACTCTAAACCTTAAACCCGACCTCAGAATCTTTCTCAACCCAGGGCCTCCCTCAGAATCACCGGGTAGTTCTCCAAAGGCTGGACATCCTCACCCACTCGCGACAGCAGGAAGTTCCAGTCGCAGCTCTCGTGCTCCGGCGCCGGCTCCAGGCAGCAGAAGTCATAGTTGAACCAGCCATTCACACCTGTCGGCTTGCCAAGAGAAGAAGCCCTAAGCCCCAAACCCTAAATCTCAACTCCCCAACCCACCAAAACCCTACACTCCAAACCCTAAACCACAAATCCCGCATCCCCCAAAACCCTGAACAGCCTCTGAAACACTCCCTGGCGGCATCTAGGCTGCTGCAGCAGTCAGCGAAGGTGAGGACCTTCGAAGCCGCATGAGGCTTGGAGATTGAAATCTTTACGGTTTAGGGGTTTGGGGGTTTAGGATTCAAGGTTTAGGGGATTTGGGTTTAAGGTTTAGGGTGTAGGGTTTGCCGTTTTGGGGGTTTGGGGTTTGGTGGTTTAGAGGTAGGGTTTATGCTACTGTAAGGCGTTGGGGCTTTCTCGTTTGAGGCTGCCAGGCTTTGCTTGCAGATCAGGCTCTCGGGTTGGGGTTGCGGCGTTCAAGACAAAGCAGCTCCTGAGAGTCTGGCAAAGGGTCTGGCTTAAACAATCAAGAAACAAACCTGAAAAAGTCCTCGTTCAAAAAAATGTAGCAGCAGCAGGAAAATCTCAAAACCAACCATGAATCCAACCTTGTCTTCCAAGTTCGGATAGTCCCAGCACAGTCGGTTGCCCTGCCGATGGGCAGCAGACGTGGCCAGCGCGTAATTATCTTCAAAGTTCAGGGCTTGGGGAGAAGGTTGGGCGAATTGACAAATAACAACCAGCACCGCTGCAATGACAGCGGAAGAAACAAAGATTGTGACAACAAGAGCAACAGCGACAAGGGCTTCCCAGACAATGACAGCAACAGAACAACAAGCAATATCAAACTAATAAGAGCCGTAGGGAGGCTATTATTACGAAGATCCAAGAAGCGGGACGGACAGGAGCAATACTATCAATGACGACAGCAGCAGCGGCAATACCAACACAACAAAAAGACAGCGTAACAAGAAGAAGAAGAACAACAACAACAGCAACAGCAACAGCAAAGGCAACAACAACAACAGCAACAGCAACAGCAACAGCAACAGCAGTAGCAGCAGCAGCAGCAGCAGCAAAAGGCAGAAGCGGCAACGGCCGTATACCATTTGCTATCATGACATCGGGGGGTGAAGGATAGGGGTGATGATGATCATTGATACCAACAGGAGGTAGTCGCAACTGCAGTCGTCGTCGTAGCAGTAGAAGTAGTAGAAGTAGTAGAAGTAGTAGTAGTAGTAGTAGTAGTAGTAGTAGTAGTAGTAGTAGTAGTAGTAGTAGCAGTAGCAGTAGCAATAGTAGTAGTTGTTGTTGTTGTAGCAGTAGCAGTAGCAGCAGCAGTAGCAGTAGCAGTAGCAGTAGCAGTAGCAGTAGCAGTAGCGATAGCAGTAGCAGCAGCAGTAACAGTAGTAGCAGTAGAAGTCGTCGTAGTCGTCGTCGTAGTCGTCGTCATAGTCGTAGTCGTAGTCGTAGTCGTAGTCGTAGTCGTAGTCGTAGTCGTAGTCGTCGGCGTCGTCGTCGTAGTCGTAGTCGTAGTCGTAGTCGTAGTCGTAGCAGTAGTAGTCGTAGTAGTAGTAGTCGTAGTAGTAGTAGTAGTAGTAGTGGTAGTAGTGGCAGTAGTAGTAGTAGTAGTAGTAGTCGTAGTGCTAATAGCAGCAGCAGCAGTAGCTGCAGCAGCAGTAGCAGTAGCAGTGCCAGTAGCAGCAGCAGTCGCAGTGGCGGTAGCAGCAGCGGTACCAGCAGCGGCAGCGGTAGCGATAGCGATAGCGGCAGCAGTGGCAGTTGCACGAGCAGTACCGGTAGCAGCAGCCGTGGCCGTAGCAGTGGCAGCAGTAGTAGTAGTAGTAGTTGTTGTTGTTGTTGTCGTCGTAGCAGCAGCAGCAGCAGTAGTAGTAGTAGTGCTGCTGCAGTCTCCAGCAATACTCGGTGCACTACCACAAGAATGAGATGTCAAACATCTTTACCCTCCGAGTCCTGGCGACCCGTGCCGTGCAGTGCATCGGAGGACTCTCCGATGACTTCCTGGGCCGCCAGGACGGGCACACACAGGTTTAGGGTTTGGGGCCTCATGGCCGAGTGCTTCGGGCTTTCGGAATTGAGTCTCGGTCACGCTCTGATCGGCGACCTTTCGATCAAGCCACCGTCACTTCTGCCGCACACGGTGCAATTGCCAACAGGCACTCCCACGCAGCAGAAAAGCAAACTCAAAATCAGCCGTGAAGATAGAAGACTCTGATACCTCAGCACGAAACAGCCACAGGAATCAAATTAACACCGCAAGGGGCACACAGCACTGCAGATCCACAGTTGAACTGCAACCCACTTTCATCGGGATTAATACCAGTCTTCTTCGTAAGACGTTTACGACTACCTCCCAGGCTTAGCCGTAGAACTCATTGTCCTGGTGGTGGTGATAGTGCTAATGGTCGTGGCTGTCATCGTGGTGATGGCGTCGTCATTCGACGTCGTCGTCGTCATCGCAGTCGGGTTAGTGGTGGTAGTGGTAGTGGTACTGTTGATGGACAAAATCCTGCATGACCCAATATAGGGAATATACCATAGTTCCCATAGTTTAGGGTCCTTAAGGTCATGCAGGATTTTGTCCAGCAACAGTAGTGGTAGCTGTTGTCGTCGTCGTAACAGCAGTAGTAGCAGTCGCAGCAGCTGCAGCTGTAACAGCGGTAGTGATCGTACTAGTCATAACTAGTAATTGTAGTAGTAATAGTAATGGTAGTAGTAATAGTAATCGCAATAGTAACACGAACAGCACTCGAAATATATCGGAATGATAATGGCGAATAAGTTGATTGTACCTCCTGTGCTGATGTCGGCAATAGAAGTGTTTCTGCTGCTTGGTCATTGTCGTCCAAAGTCGCTGCGTAGTGTCGTGACAATGTTGACGGTGGTAGTAATAGTAGTAGTGCTGGTGATGATGGTGGCCGTGTTAGCAGGAGCCATCACATTCCCATAACTACTACTGTTATTTTTCGTTTACTATGACTATTGCCATGACGATAACTGTATGTAGTCATTGCCATCGTTGTCAGTGGCAGAAATGCCAGCACCAGATCTAAGCTCCTGAACTCAACTCCACAAGGGAGCTTCCGAAAATAGGGGACCCTAATACGGTACCCTAAATAGTAGGATCCTTATTATAAGGACCCCAGAACAAGGTCCCCCAAATTTTCGGAAACCCCCACAAAGCTCAAGTCGTGCAAGCAAGGCTCCCGCACAGCCGCCAGGTAAATCCATGGCCGATGCATTGGGGGCCGGCTCTCGAAGCCCGGGTTCCTCACCTAATGAGATCCTGTTTGTAGCCATGAGAACGAGCTCTACAAGCGCTCCCAACATGGAGCTTATCTTGAGCACCCCTTGCATCCGGGCCGAAAAATGAACTTCGGAACCCATTAGAGTAAACCAGCTGCGGAAGTTGCTCTTTGGGAGATTGTCAACTCAGCAACTAGCAGAATACCAGTCCTCGAGCACATCGCCTTTGACTGTCTGCCCCCAAAAAGTCTATGTAGCAAGCTTTGCTGATGCTTCAGAGCTGTTGCTGATCCTGTTAGTCTCTTGACCACCCCATTACCTTGAACATCGTCACTCGCACGGTTATCGTTGGCATATCTTTGAAAGCAAAGGACACTTCTACGTCGGTGACGCAAGAGCAGCTGCGGCAGGCACGTTGATCCTCTCAAGCAGGAGGTGCTCGAGATGTTACAGACGTATTGAACAGATGCAAACGATGCCCGGACATGTTAGCGTTGCTATTTCATCTGTCGAGTTCAAGTATGCCAAGCGCTGGACGATGCCAATGCGAGCTGCCAGTGGGAACCCTGGCCACTGACAGCGTGCTACAGAGTCTCGCTGCCGAGAGTGAAAGGCACCCTGTTTGCGCATGTACAAACAGTATATATACATATATACATCATATATATATATATATATATATTCATATATATGTGTGTGTGTATCAAGCAGAGGAGCATGTAGGCCGGACATACAAGATCCCTGTTTTGGAAGGCCTCGCTGTACGCCCGCAGGACTGTACTCAACCTTGCAAGACAGCCAATGCAAGCTGTTGAAACACATGGATTCCTTGAAGATATCCCAGTCTGGTAAGCCTTTACTATGGAACTGTACTTGGTGCCAAAAAACGACCAACCTCTTTCCGCAACAACCCCCGAACTAAGCACAAAATCCTGCACCAAACCCCAAAGCCCCAGAAAGCTCTGACTTAAGCCTCTCCGAGGCAAAGGCACTTGCTTGTTGGCATCGACCTTCCACCGAACGGGAGCGTTTCAGGGTGGTCTCAGCGCTGTACTGAACCGGTTGGGGCTTAGTAACAACACTAGTAACTGTAATAACAACAATGGTAACAAAAATAGAAAAAAGTCATAATAGCAATAGCAATGATGGTAATAATTGTAATAACAACAGTTGTAACAATAACAGCAATAATAAATGTCAGAACAATAATGATATATGTCATAATCGTAGTAGCAATAATTCGAGGGCTTCGAAACCCAGGCCCTGGCCTTCCGGAGCTCCATCTGCCCAAAGATGTCCAGGGCAACGGCCTAGGCTAAGCTCGAAAACCCTAAGCTTACCTTGGGTTAGTAGGGAATGGTAGGGTTCCCTTTAAAAGGGGTCTATAAGGGCTACTATAAGGGATCTATAAGGGTACTATATTATAGGGGCCTTAACTTCCCTATATCTTAACTCTGGTTAGTAGGGAATGGAGGAATGGGGTACAATTATAACTACTATTACGGCCATTCTTCCATTCCCTACTAACCTAAGGTAAGAAGCCCCCCAAAAATTCCAGTCTTGAATCCTACGTCTTGGGGTGCCGGGTAAGCTCCAGCTAAGCCCCATGAGCCCCGAAACCCGTAGCCGCCTGAATGCTAAACCGTGAATCCCAAGCAACCTCAATGCCCGACGCTACAAGCAAACCCCTACAGCCCTGCAACCGTAAGCCCCACGCCCAAACCCCTAAGTCCGACAGAGCTCAAGAGTTGAGGTGCCGTGCAAAGGCAGGGAACTGAGGAGGCCGCCCACTTCCTGGCAGCGACCTGGAGCTCGAACATCTTTGCAAGAAAGAACACACGTGCGTATGTGCGTATGTGTGTATGTATGCACCGAAATACCTATCTACCAATCGAGCATCCATCCATCCATCTACATAACCACTTAACATACTGGTATAGCTCGACACAGCACCATGGTACGCACTGTGAGAGAAAAGTCGGTGAGACTTACGTCCAGCAAGGTCTGAAGCCTGAGTCTGCGACTGGTATGGGAGTCAAGGAGCGGCCTGCGCCCTGGTTCATTCTGAGACTCCGACGCAGGAACCCATGGCCGTGTTGAAAGCCGTGGCCTCTGCTGCGGGCAGATGGCGTAGCAGTGCAGAGTTTTTGGGCATCGCTCCTGCAGCCACTGAGCCACAGGCATCTGCGTTGTGCTCCAGCGCCTCCAAGACAAATTGTGAATGCATATAGATATATGTACACACATACACACACACACACACACATACATCTATGTGTTATTACCAACTATCCTTCATGCATATCCTTTTGTACAAACAAGGGCCAGAGTCCCGGCCTGTACGAAGAGGCTCAGCGATGCCTCCCACCTTCAAAAGCAAGCTTCTTGAGAAGGGCGGATCCTTTGAATTCGAGGGCTGAGGCTTGGAGATTTGGGTTCTTGAGGGTTTAAGGGTTTTAGGGTTTAGGGTTAAGGGTTTTAGGGTTTAAGGGTTTTAGGGTTTAGGGTTAAGGGTTTTAGGGTTTAGGGTTTTAGGGTTTAGGGTTTAGGGTTAAGGGTTTTAGGGTTTAGGGTTTTAGGGTTTAGGGTTAAGGGTTTTAGGGTTTAAGGGTTTTAGGGTTTAGGGTTAAGGGTTTTAGGGTTTAGGGTTTAGGGTTTTAGGGTTTAGGGTTAAGGGTTTTAGGGTTTAGGGTTTTAGGGTTTAGGGTTAAGGGTTTTAGGGTTTAGGGTTTTAGGGTTTAGGGTTAAGGGTTTTAGGGTTTAGGGTTTTAGGGTTTAGGGTTAAGGGTTTTGGGGTTTAGGGTTTTAGGGTTTAGGGTTAAGGGTTTTAGGGTTTAGGGTTTTAGGGTTTAAGGTTTAGGGCAGTCAGGGAAGCCAGTAAACCATGACGAGTCGCCTAAGCACTTGTCGTACTCTTGGGACGACCCCCGTGTACATCCGTACTGCCATATGGCAAAACTCATAAGCTCGCTTGCCGATCCTCCCTCGACCCCTTACCTCATCCAACCGCGATAGATTCAACAGCTGCACGACCGGTTGACAATACCAGACAAGCCGAGGGTCAAGTACCATCCTGCCAGCAGCATTGAAATAATTTTGGCAACGCAAGCATGCAATGTAACGAACTCTGCACAGACTCGCTGTAACAACTAACCCCCAAAATACATCTGAATTCTAAGCTTCAGCAGTTTGGAGCTGGCCCCATCAAGACTGGACCCTAAACTAAACTCTGAACCCTAAACCATAGCCCTCTTGGACCCGGAATTCCCGGGGCGACGGCTGGCGCAGACGGCCAGCCTCTTTCATCCGTCTCGTCAGCGACCTGAGCGGATATCGTACACTGCAAGACAATACTTCAAATCGTAGTCCACTCTCTGTATATGTGTGTGTGTGTGTCGACCTATATATATATATATATATATATATATGAAAGCGAGAGAGAGAGAGAGAGAGAGAGAAATTGTAACTTAAATAGTGTGATGAGAGAAAGATACATAATACATAGATAGGTCATGACATAGACTGATTGATAGATAGATGGGTGTGTGGGTAGGTTGGCAGGTAGATAGATAGGTGGACAGATAGATAGATAGATAGGCAGATAGATAGATTCTGGGCTTGCACTTCTGCTTTGTAGCGACGCATAGCCTAGTATAAACGCATGCGATCCACTGAAGGCTATCAAACGTTACTTGAGCTACGAACAGAATCCTGAATCTGTGCCGCCAGCAAAGCCAGTCCGAAATCCGAACGCTGACTTGACGGACGCCTGCAGCTGGATACAGGAGTTTCCGAAAATAGGGGACCCTAATATAGTACCCGAAATAGTAGGATCCTTATTATAACGCCCCCAAAATAAGGTACCCCTAATTTTCAGAAGCTCCTATATGCCTTCTTTGATTCTTTGAACACCAAACTCTTCGTCTCAGCGGCGGTGAATTCCTACACGGGTCAAGGCTGCCTTGGAGAGCCGGTCCAGGAGGATCCTGCGCTCCGGATTGACCCTGTCCAGCAAGAAGTCTACTACCGGCATGGTGATCCCGATGTTGACCAGCCGGTCCAGCAAGCTTCTGATCACGGGTGCGTCAGGAGGCAGCGTGTCCGCAGCCAAGAGCAGCACGCAGGCAAGAAATGCAACCTGATTTGCCCCTGCCCGGCTAAGAGCCAGCTCGATGTCAGATGCGGAGCAATCCCCGGGAGCGAACTCATTCTCAGAATCTGTCCCTTCAACCAGCTCGTGCAAGTATGCTTCTGCCAAGCTCCACACTAACACTTTTGGCTCGAAGGGCAGAGTCGAGTGCACAATCAAGCTATAGCATCTTGCGTAACGCGCCCTCTCCAAGAAGGAACTCGTATGCTCGGCCCGTATACCACGCCGTCGGAGAACTCTTTCTGCCTCTTTCACTAACTCTACGTCGTTCCTCGCTGCTGCTTCAACCAGGCTCGATGCCATTTCTGGAGCCAATCTCCTCACAGTGCCGGAATGAAAGGGAAGCCCACTTGCCAACACTCGAAGCTGCGCCGTGGTTCCCGCGATGACCCCGGAACGGAGGATAGAGTCAGCATCAGCCGGCTTGATCCCAGATGCTGAGAGCCTAGATCCAATCAGCTTCACAATCGCAGATGCCTCGGCACTCTCCTGCTTCGCAAAAAACAACAGATGCCGACACAGGAGCTCAAGCACAGAAGGCGAAGCCACGAATGGCAGATCGGAAAGAAGCAAGATAAGCCGGGCAGACGGCTTGAGCTTGCCAGCTTCTTCCAGGATGCCTGTTGTCTGAGTCGCTTCCACGTTGGCTCGCACGAGCCGTCTAGCGATGCTCTGCACGACCTTCACGGCACGTTCACCTGCGGCTGAAAGCAAGGGATCTCGCAAAGCCGCCACCAAGTGGACAGCGCAAAAGGGCAGAGGAGACATCAGAATGACAAGCTTGGCAGCCACGTCCAGCTTGCATGCTGCTTCGAGAATGGCGCTCGTCTGACTGCCTGTCACTCCAGCTTTCAAGAGCCTCGAGACGATGATGTTTACGAGGGAAGCATCGCAAGCCTTCGCCGCAGACACCAAAGGCTCGGTCAGGGCGCCCACCAAGTCTGAGCTAGAAAAAGGTAACCGTGAGCGCAGCACGAGAAGTTTCGCATCTTTGTCAAGTGGAAGAGCTTGCTTGAGCACATCCTTGGTTTCAGCGGACGTCACTCCTGCTTTCAAGAGCCTCGAGATGATACTGTCTACGAGAAGAGCATCGCGAGCCTTCGCAGCAGACATCAAAGGTTCGGTCGATGCGCCCACCAAGTCCGAGCTAGCAAATGGTAAGCCAGACCGCAGCACAAGAAGTTTCGCGCCTTTGTCAAGTGGGAGAGCTTGCTTGAGCACCTGCTTGGTTTCAGCGGACGTCACTCCAGCTTTCAAGAGCCTCGAGATGATACTGTCTACGAGAGGAGCATCGCGAGCCTTCGCAGCAGACATCAAAGGTTCGGTCAATGCGCCCACCAAGTCCGAGCTAGCAAATGGTAAGCCAGACCGCAGCACAAGAAGTTTCGCGCCTTTGTCAAGTGGGAGAGCTTGCTTGAGCACCTCCTTGGTTTCAGCGGACGTCACTCCAGCTTTCAAGAGCCTCGAGATGATACTGTCTGCGAGATAAAAATCGCGTGCCTTTGCGGCAGACAGCAAGGGCTCGGTCAATGCTTCGACCAGTTGCGACGCGACGAAGGGTAGCTTCGACAGCAGAACTGCAAGCTTCGCATGTCTCGCCAAGCTGAGAGCTCCGTCCAAGATCCCACTGGCCTCGTGAGACGTCAGCGGAAGATCGAGAAGTCGCTTCTCCAGAAGGCTCAAGATGTGGTAGTTCCCAAGCTCCGCTTGAGGGCAGAATGCTTCTATGAAGGCACCCCTCGTCGATGTGAGGAGCGGCAGGCCATGCAGGACATACTCAGCCGCGGGCGAAGGCAAGCAAGCTGCGTATGAAAGCAGATGCTGCTGCATCTCCAGTTCCCCGGAAGTTGCCCCCGCGGTCTCCTCCTTGGTCTCCTGAGTACCCGGCTCACAGTCTGTAAAGTCGAAAGGCAAGCCGGAAAGCAGCACCATAAGCTTCGCATCCTTGGCAAGTCGGAGAGCTTGCTTCCGCACCTCCTTGGTTTCAGCGGAAGTCACTCCAGCTTCCAAGAGCCTCGAGACGATGCCGTTTACGAGCGAAGCATCGCAAGCCTTCGCCGCAGACACCAAAGGCTCGGTCAGGGCGCCCAGCAAGTCTGAGCTCGCAAATGGCAACCGCGACTGCAGCACGAGAAGTTTCGCATCTTTGTCAAGTGGAAGAGCTTGCTTGAGCACATCCTTGGTTTCAGCGGACGTCACTCCTGCTTTCAAGAGCCTCGAGATGATACTGTCTACGAGAAGAGCATCGCGAGCCTTCGCAGCAGACATCAAAGGTTCGGTCGATGCGCCCACCAAGTCCGAGCTAGCAAATGGTAAGCCAGACCGCAGCACAAGAAGTTTCGCGCCTTTGTCAAGTGGGAGAGCTTGCTTGAGCACCTGCTTGGTTTCAGCGGACGTCACTCCAGCTTTCAAGAGCCTCGAGATGATACTGTCTGCGAGATAAAAATCGCGTGCCTTTGCGGCAGACAGCAAGGGCTCGGTCAATGCTTCGACCAGTTGCGACGCGACGAAGGGTAGCTTCGACAGCAGAACTGCAAGCTTCGCATGTCTCGCCAAGCTGAGAGCTCCGTCCAAGATCCCACTGGCCTCGTGAGACGTCAGCGGAAGATCGAGAAGTCGCTTCTCCAGAAGGCTCAAGATGTGGTAGTTCCCAAGCTCCGCTTGAGGGCAGAATGCTTCTATGAAGGCACCCCTCGTCGATGTGAGGAGCGGCAGGCCATGCAGGACATACTCAGCCGCGGGCGAAGGCAAGCAAGCTGCGTATGAAAGCAGATGCTGCTGCATCTCCAGTTCCCCGGAAGTTGCCCCCGCGGTCTCCTCCTTGGTCTCCTGAGTACCCGGCTCACAGTCTGTAAAGTCGAAAGGCAAGCCGGAAAGCAGCACCATAAGCTTCGCATCCTTGGCAAGTCGGAGAGCTTGCTTCCGCACCTCCTTGGTTTCAGCGGAAGTCACTCCAGCTTCCAAGAGCCTCGAGACGATGCCGTTTACGAGCGAAGCATCGCAAGCCTTCGCCGCAGACACCAAAGGCTCGGTCAGGGCGCCCAGCAAGTCTGAGCTCGCAAATGGCAACCGCGACTGCAGCACGAGAAGTTTTGCGCCTTTGTCAAGAGGAAGAGCTTGCTTGAGTATTTTTTTGGTTTTAGCGGATGTGACTCCAGCTTTCAAGAGCCTCGAGACGATGATGTTTACGAGAGAAGCATCGCAAGCCTTCGCAGCAGACATCAAAAGCTCGGTCAGGGCGCCCATCAGGTCAGGTCTGTGGAATGGCAGGTCGGAAAACAGCACTGTTAGCTTCGCCTTCCCGTGGAGCTGACGAGCAATATCAAACACACTGCGCGCTACCTTGCGCAACGCGGCAGTGCCCAGTCCGGCATCCAGAAGACGCCTCACAACTCGTCCGGCAAGCTCGGTTGCCTGTTCCTCCTGCCTGGGCAATGTGCGGAGCAGCCTGCACATCTCCTCCGCCAGGACGCGGTGGTCCATCGGTAGGTCCAGCAACCAAAAGTCCGTCCACTGCCGCATCGTCAGATCTCCACCCTTTCTTTCGGCCTGACCCAAAAACGTCCTGATCTCTGATACTGCCTGCATCGTGCCCTGTGCTTCCGACCTCATGATGATTCGAAGCAGCTCGGAATCCTTAGCCTTTCCAGCAATCGTGAGAAAACCCTCTGTCAGAGATCGATTTCGATTGGCAAGGAGTTCTTCGTAGCAGTCGTCCTCGTCAGAGGGCTCCAGTGCATGCCCAACGAGGGTTTGCACGAGGCTTTTCCACTCCGGGGTGTAGCCTTCGCCGTCGATGACCCTTGTAAGCTCCCTCAGAGCGACCTGACGGCCCAGAACGCTGAGGCGCTCGAAAGCCGACAAGCTTTGGTCCGCGGCCTTCCCAATCGCTCTCCCGCCTGATGCTTGCCTTGGCAAGAAATTGTCTAGCTCGTCTTGGACGGCCTGCGTCCACAGCTCGGAGAGGCCCTCTAGGGCCCAGTTGAAGCGCCTTCTTAGCCCCTTTGTCAGTGATTCGTTGAAAGCCTGAACTCGTTGCCCCCATCTCGTGACGATGCTCCCTTCTACGGAGAGCTTAACGAAGAGCTCACCCATGGCAATGATTTTGAACATTTTGTTCCCATCACTCTGCTGCTTTTGGAACAAGCCAACCAGAGCGCATTTCTGCGTGA